GAAAAATTTAGAAAGACATATTAAATGGGTAGTCAATTTATAATGAGTCAATTTAAAATGAGTCATTCATCTTCTCTATTGAGTCAAAAAGAGCCATTCACCATTTTGGCTCATTATAAATTGACTGCCCATTTAATATGTCTTTCTAAATTTTTCCAGTGACACAAGATGACAGCGACAGTAGTTGTGGAATTGTGAAATATAATGTGTTCACGATATTTTTTCTTTATTTAACTTAATCATTTAAAGTATTTTCAGATTCATGTTGCTGCTACTGTTACTTATGGACTAAGTTGATGGCGGGAAAAAGGGGTGAAGTGGGTGAGGACAATTTTACCCTTGTTTATGGAAAGAAAAAGGTATTTTTGTATTTAATTAACGGAAAAACTGACGGAATATGGACGGAAGGACGTCCAGCGCAAAGAAAGGTTGAAATGAGGGCAAAAATGCCAAAAAATGAAAGGTAGGGACGTTTTCCACAATAGAGTTGAAAGGTAGGGACGTTTTGTGCCAATTACCCTTTAATTAACGGAAAAACTGACGGAATATGGACGGAAGGACGTCCAGCGCAAAGAAAGGTTGAAATGAGGGCAAAAATGCCAAAAAATGAAAGGTAGGAATGTTTTCCACAATAGACTTGAAAGGTAGGAACGTTTTGTGCCAATTACCCATTTGATTAACCCCGGTTTCACTTCAATCCCAAGCCTCCACAAATATTTGGCAAACCAAAGAGTAACGGGTCGGGCCACTTCAGCAGCTCAAGTTGAATAGTCCCGCTAGAAACTTCTACTGGATTTTCTTTAGGGTTTCAGGTTTCTTTAGGGTTTTACACCGTGCTTCGCTCAGTCTTCTTCGATTAGCTCAGTTAGACCTAGCCAATGGTCCGATTCTGCGGATTCCGGATTGCCCGCCGCTCCATCTGCTCCTACCTACGCCACAATTCACCGTCTTTTGTACACACTGAATCTATCTCTGTTTCTGTATATACGTGCTAAATTATTGGTTATTATTCATATTTTGTTGATGGAGTTTTGTTCTTGTTATGCAGTTGGGTGATTCGTTATTACAAGGTGGTTGCAGGAGTTATGGCACAGCACTATCCAATCGTTGTAGGGTCCTTCCCTATTCGAATTTCGGAAATGGTATCTGACTATTTGCTTCTTTATCCTACGTTTCGTAATCATATTGGTTGAATTATATGATTCTTATGTGAATGTTATTTGTTATTTTAATTACTTGGCTACAGTGGCTAGTGAGAGAGACTGGTTGAAAATCGGTTTACTCAAAGCTAATTGGGGTGTGGCACGATCAATTCATAGCACTGGTAATTGTATAATTTTCCTAAGCTTTGAGGCAGACGTATTCTGTTCTGTAATTTCTTGTGCTTACTTCTCGTCTGATATAAAACCTTAGATAACTGGTTATGACGTTTTATTGTCCATTTCTGTCGTGAGCTGGAGGTTTATATTTTGTATTACCACAATAAAATCCTACATTTAACTTTAGAAGATTAACTTGAAATTCTGTAAAGCATGGGAACTTTTCTCCATATATATCTAAATAGAAAATGATAAAAAAATGTAGTATCACATTTATTGATGAAGTTGCTGCTAAATTATTCGAGAAAATTAATTTATTATGGTGGCATATTTTGAATTGCTTATCCTGTTTTGACCTTTTCTGGGGATAAATTTGCTGACTTGTACTTTTTTCCCCCATTTTCTTGTGTTTGGGTTAT